TCTTGTCCATAATGACAATGATATATATATATATATATATATATATATATATATATATACATGCAGAATGATATTACCGACAAAGACAAGGGAGACTGGAATGGCCATTTCTGGCTTATTAGCCGTCATCAGCCAGCCATACCCAAGCCCGAAGTGTGGAACACCCGAGCCTCGAACTTGCGACCTGTTGGTTTAGAAGTCAACGCCTCTACTCACCGGGCCACGAGTCCGTTGTCCTGTCGGTTTTCGATCGGGCATATACAATGTTAGGGGGCGCTCACCTATCGTTCATACGGAACTCACTCGTTCCGTTGTGCCTTAAGGGCTCTCTCTCGAGCCCAACCAGCATCCGCGCAGCGGGGTATGGCTGGCTGACGACGGCTAATAAGCCAGAAATGGCCATTCCAGTCTCCCTTGTCTTTGTCGGTAATATCATTCTGCCTATATATCATGCGCCGCTGCGCGGCTGCTGGTTGGGCTAGAGAAGCAGCCCTTAAGGCGCAACGGAACGAGTGAGTTCCGTATGAACGATCGGTGAGCGCCCCCTAACATTGTATGTGCCCGATCGAAAACCGACAGGACAACGGGCTCGTGGCCCAGTGAGTAGAGGCGTTGACTTCTAAACCAACTGGTCGCGAGTTCGAGGCTCGGGTGTTCCACACTTCGGGCTTGGGCATGGCTGGCTGACGACGGCTAATAAGCCAGAAATGGCCATCCCAGTCTCCCTTGTCTTTGTCGGTAATATCATTCTGCCTATATATCATGCGCTGCTGCGCGGCTGCTGGTTGGGCTCGAGAGAGAGCCCTTAAGGCACAACGGAATGAGTGAGTTCCGTATGAACGATCGGTGAGCGCCCCCTAACATTATATATATATATGTATTATGATAGTGGGCGCTCACCGATCAGGTTACGGAACATGCTCGTTCCGTTGTGCCTTGGGGCTCATACTTAAACCCTCCCTTGTCTTTGTCGGTATCATCTTCTCATATATGTATGTATATAAGAACAACAACAGCTAATGCGTGCCCGGACATGCATGATCTCGCCGACACGCCATTCCTCCCTCCCCCCCTCCAACGCGGTGAACCACAACTGGGACCAACAACACCTATCCTCACCTCCTGCACCCATCACAACACGATGCACACTTCCCCCTCACATGGTCGTCTGCTTACCCCTCTGTCTGCGTCCTCAACCAGCAGTGTGACAATGCCACCTTTCTTTTTCCACTTTGTCTAACGACGGGTTGGTGCAACCAGCTCGAAAATTTACGAATAAAACTCTATTTCCGACGGAGTTCGTCCTTCCATCATATAATCTCGGAATGCATACTACTTCAGTTATTCAAAATATATATATACAAAGTCAGCATGGTATACCGTACGTGACAGCACAGATACCAGCCAAAGGCTCTCCTAGTTTTGCTCATGTGCTTTTCTGGTAGAAACTACGTTTTTGACTTTCTATTCACCTCAGTAACTAATCTAATGATTAATTCTGCCAAGTTTGGGTGGTTTTATTGTTTCTCGAAGCCGGGAAGGCCCCCCTGCTTTTCAAACCCTCTCTCATTGGTTCAGCGCTGAGCATAGAAAGAAGGGGTTCCTCAGAAATTTTGTCAAAATGCCTACAAGCAAAACGTATTACCAAAAGTGGCGATTTCATGCTTCTAATGCGGCTGGCGGACAACAGCTCAGGCTTTTTATGATGAACCTCAGGATTCAATGTGACAGCATAAACTTTGTAAATACATGAGGTGTAAACCAAAGTCACAACATGCTGGCTGCACTGAAGGGCTCTTCTTCCTCTAGTACTGCTTCGCTTTACATTAACGACGCCCCCAAAATTGCGAAACGCTTCGCTTGCGCCCGGCAAAATCAACAGTCACAAAAAGCCCCAGCTGCGGTCTATACGCGAGCGAGCACCTGCCGTCACCCATGACTCTCCGTGCGCCGGCTACCTCGATGCCTTTGTTAGTCAAGCGGCAAGAACATTGAGGGTCCATTTATGCAGCCATAATGCCAATTTTGCCACGTGAAAGGCGTCCAAAAATTCTCTAATCAGTTTCCGTTATCAGATATTATGAGGTAGGTCACGTAGGTGTAGGTGTCCTTGTTTTTATTGATAATAAACGGGCAACACAAAAACATAGGAATGGATTGTCCTCTTTACAGGCCGACATCCGGCAAGGGGCAGCATCTGCAAGCGGTTAGGACGCCTTGCCTGATTTTTTATTTTTTGTACACACCAGGTATGCGGCATCAGTTTGGAAGGAACCTGCAAAAATTCAAGAAGAACGATTTACACGGGGGAGTCTACTTTAGGACTCCTACTAAGACTTGGAAAGAACCAAAAAACACCTAGTGTTTCTTATTTGCGTGAAATAAAAAGTCAAACTATGCGTGATGCGGACAGACGCTCACCAATCATAAAGAAGCGATGAGGCTAGTTACAGAAAGCAGACGTGAAGGGGAAGACTCTGTCGGCGGATCAAGGGCGTTATTTACCTTTCGGACTCCTGTTCGAAACCATCATCCGAGGAGAGATCAGTTACAGGTAGTTCGTGAATAAGGCGACACATTTTTTATAGGATGCAGCGCCGTGTGTGTGAACTGTCAGTAGCTGCTGTTGCCTCTGACAACAAGACCGGACAGAAGCCTGAAACGTCAGGCGGATAAAGCTCTTGATTCAACGATCTTATTTCCTTATTCGGTCGGCAGTCTACCTAGCCCATGCAAGCACATTGTTCTGCTGGTCTTGATAGCCTCTGACAAGTGAGACGATGCATTAAAATGCAAGGAAAATTTTCACTTATGCGCTTAATGGCAATGGTATGTGTCATCAGGGCCCCAAGTCAAATCATGGTGCAGTTAAGGCTTTACAACTGAAAGGTATGCAAAAAACAGGGCCATCATTGATCGAACATTTTTTTCCCTATGGAGTTACAAAGGATGACACCGTTAAACTTCGAGGTACATATTTATGTAATTCTGAGGTCGGAGATTACGTTAGAGTATGCGATTTTGGTAAAAGCGACGAATTTTATTGGTTGATGGTTTCCTTTTGTGGGTGTGAATGCGGTGTTCCCAGCCATAGCCCATGCGAAGTCAGAAGACACTTCCCGACGCTGCTGGATAAGATGTTTTACTTAATGCTGTCGACTAAAATGGATGAACAGAGAGATGTGCCAATAGGCAAATGGCATAACCGAAAAAGACAAGGGAGTCTGGAATGGCCATTTCTGGCTTATTAGCCGTCGTCAGCCGGTCGTACCCAAACCCGAAGTGTGGAACACCCGAGGCTCGAACTCGCGACCTGTTAGTTAGAAGTCCACGCCGCTAGCCACTAAGCTCCGAGCCCGTTGCCCTGTCGGCAGTGTCAATGCCTCTCTTCTTCTGACAACGGAGATAAAGTTCACTTTGTCGACATTTAAGTGTGTTCTCAACACGCAAGAAGGCCCACCATATAATGTGAAAGCACGTGACTATAAGGGCTTGAATTCCCTTGCTAAAGCAGTCCGGAGCTCCGGGTAACATTCCTATCGTCAGAAGTTTGCATTCCGGACAACAGTTTCGATGAGCGAGTGTCTGGTTAAGTGAGCCAGTAACTCATTATCCGACCACGCAGGCACTCGGTGCCACCCTACGATATCCACCCAAACTCCACAGTAGGGTAGGAGCAGGCGTGGTGACTTGCACGTGAGTCGGTTTAAAGGGATAGCTGGATTACACCGCATCTATGGCACACTTTCCTCCTCCTCCTCCTACTCCACCACCACCACCACCACCACCACCACCACCACCACCACCACCACCACCACCACCACCACCACCACCACCACTACCACCACACCTCCTCCTCCCCCTCCTCCTTCTCCTTCTTCTTCTTCCTTGTCTTCTTCTTCCTCTTCTTCTTCTTCTTCTTCTCCTCCTCCGCCACCACTTCCTCTCCTCCGACTGGGTCCGTTGTCAAGACACAGTCATGAAGACCGGAGGCGGAAGAGAATACCGGTGGATGGCGCGGTGAGAACCCGCGCCCAGGCGTGCCATCACACCCGCCAGTCGAAAACGTACACTGACCAGTGTTTGATGTAACAATAATAATAAAAGGGTTGAGTGCGCTTGCATCCGGGTCTGCCACCGGACCCCCAATTTTAGGATTTGTTATGGGTACGCAGTTCCAATCTAGTCTCGGTGTTGGTCCAGCGCATCTGCCGGGTGGTTCGTTATAGGGGCACCAGTCTTAACCCCAAGCCTGTTCATTTCGGAAGAAGCATTCTGCATTATTCACAGTTGCAAAATATGCTGCCAGGTGAACTTCGTAGAAACTCACCTTTCTGAGCCTCATCCCAATTGTCCGTCTACTTAAGACTTCTGGCATTAAACCGCACTCAATAATCAGTGTGCTCGATGTTAAGGATTGGAGCCGGATCTGCTGTTGGCCAGAGAATGAGGCAACAGTTGACCTTCTGCTAATCTTTTCCGTGTTCATAGACATACCCATATAAGGAAACACTCCGAAACGCTATAAGTGTGTCTTCAAGTTCTCCTGGGTGATGCTGCTAGCCTTTACGTCCTCCGCGTATAAATTCAGAGCCTTCTGTGCTTTATCGGCAGATATTTGTTTCCCAAAAGAGCTTTTTCATTGCGGAGTTCTTCTTGGTTTTCTTTTCTTATTGCTATCGTCGCCCCCGATCTTCCTCCTTTCGTCGACTGTCATGGTTTCTCTTTCTGCCGCTCCGGTTGCTGCTGCTATTATTGTTGAACGAATTGAGTCGAATTGGACACGGTCAGTGTCATAGACTCGAACTGGCGCCCCGAAAATAGAAGCCTCCGCCAGAGCTTCTTTAACAGAAATCTTCAGAAAGCCATAAACAGTAGATGCGCGATAACTCCATACAACAGTGGCCGGCTACGTCATTTTGCGCATACGCTCAACTGATAATGCGTACCTTATATAATCTCGGTTACGTTCTTTAAGTTGATAAATTTGTAGCGTGTAGAAGGCTTTATCTTTGGCAAAGTTGTGTGTTCTGCATCTACAAAGCTTGGACGTTTAAATAATTGTAAATTGGACGGTCCTTGTCACTCTAACAGCATTTTTATCATAGCTGTTTCACATTTTCTAGTTTTTTATCACTCGCACTCAGCCATTTATCCCTGTTTATTATAACTACGGCCTGGTCCATCTATGCGAAAAAACACGGACTGCGACGATACCTTTCTTGGTTGGAGACAAATTTGTCCTCAGACCCAATGCACACTTAGAGGAAATTGAAGTTTTGGAAAAAATTAGAAAAAACCTGACGAACCGATCAAAGCCTTCCCCGGAATTAATGTCATTTGTAAAGGTACCTTTTTGATCAGTTTCACACTGTTAAAAGAAACCCCATCTAATCCCACTGCTAACTGTCTCGTGTTGCACATTCCAGCGGTTTTTCACAGAATCACCAACTTCCAAATTATTTCACTTGTGGGCAGCACACTCATTAAACTCCGCACTGCAAGATAACTCTTATTTTTTCATTCGTTGCTGTACGGACGTGAATTGACAGTAAGCACATGTCTGATAGCATGAGAATCGCAACCTCTAAAGCCGTTTATAGTAGCGAATAAACGAGTTTCAGGGGGTAGTCGTGATGAAGGAGACAGGGCTGCTCGAAAAAGAGCTTTAATACCCACGCGGGAGCGAACTGATGGACGCTATTCCTAACTACCTGAACATCTATCAAATTTACAGCACCGGCAATAATTTAAAAAATACAAGACACACGTGTATTGTGGTCTGGCACAACTTCGTTCGGTTAGGCTCATTAGCGGGTCTCCCAAAGTTCACCGTGTTTTCTTGCATAGGAACTCGTTTCATTCCATCTTATTTAATTTCCACGGAAATAAGTGAGCGTACTTGGAGTTAATCCTTCGGAAATCAAACAAGACAGGATAAAAAGAGAGCTCATTTACCAGAATCACACGTGGAACGCCGAAACCCACGTAGCTGCATCAGGAAGTGGCATAAGATCAGCGAAACACGCGTGTCTGGGCTTTAAGCTACTACCCATGTTGTCAGTATAGAAAATAATCACATAGTGCATTAGCTGAGGGATTTCAGCTCAAATATTCATATTCACTCTCGGACCGAGCCTGAAAAGGTTTTATGCGAAGGCTTTACGCCAAGTTCGCGCATTTATCTTCTTGGAGATTTAAAAAGTCACTATTTCCAACTCAAAGATCGGTGAGACAGATGGTCGAGCAATCACCATATCAGCATCCGACACCCGTGCTGAAATTGCAAAAATCATCGGACCATGTGCAACAATCCCTGATGAAATGTGTGGGGAGCTGCGAACTTTCAAAAGATTGATGAAGCACTGTGACTGCGTCCTACGAATACTGCTCCGTATCTGTTGTTGGCTCTGATAGTTGGTTCGAACAGCAACTCGAAAGAAAGCTGTCTGTCCAACCTGTTAGTGAGTATTGGCTCAGTTTTACAGCCTGCACGACACTGGACTTGGTAACGTTTGGGCGTAGGACCCCACGAAGATGGCGAAACCAACATGCACACTAAAATTCACTGTGACTGAAAACATCACTAACTATCCATGGTCTTCATTGGTTGAGATTCCCTTGCCTTCCTGATTAAATGTAAACTTACTAGCGGTGGTCTAATCAGAGTCTGCCATTTTTCGAAAATCACGTTTTTTTCACTTTTTGTGATTATCTTGCATACTTTGTGTGCCAAATCACAGTCTTCGATTAGACTTTTGCCGCCAAATTTATACATTTTCCATGTCCCCTTGTTCTCCGTCCTTCGTGTTGCCCTACCCATAAAATCCCTTCATTGAATTCATGACGCGTTAGCTGATTTAAGTAAAACTCACTCAGGAGTGTTTTATCATGACACGAAAACAGCCGATAAAATTATACTGTCTGTCCAACCCTTCCATCCTTTACTGTGCTATTTCCCTACAAAGCAATCCCGCCTCCCTCTAACCGAGTTCACTCATAAGCGGCACAAAACCACGAGCTGGACGGAATTCGAGTGGTGAAACTCACTTTTCGAATGACTTGGCGACAGATCCTGACGCACAAGCGCCTCCAGCCTTCGATAGATTGATGTCGAAATTTGTTTCTATATCCGTCTCAGCCTCGGGCGACATCCCATTCACAAGGAGACTCATGCTGCCCAGCTGTACAACGAGCTGCAAAATAAAGGCTTTTCTCAGAGCAGTTTAGGCTGTCTTCACTACTTGTACCGTCCTAAAATGCCCCAATTGGCAGTTGGGTGATGTTGGCAGTAAAACAGAAGTTCGTGAGTAAGATCTTATTTCGTAGCCCCACTTGATAGGGGTTAGGGTTAGGAGTTATTGCTGAGGAGTTAGGGGTTGAGGTTAGGGGTTAGTGTAAGGGGATAGAGCTGGGGGCTAGGGTCGGTAGTTAGAGTTAGGGTTGGAGGATAAGGTTGGGGGTTGGGGGTTAATAGTCAGGGTCGAGGTTAGGGTTGGGGGGTTAGTGTTAGTGGTTAGGGTCAGGGGTTAGGTTATGGGGCTAGGGTTGGGGGTTGGGGGTTAGGGCTTAGGGTTGGGGGTTTGGGACTTAGAGGTAGGGGTTAGTGTTCAACCTCCTGCTACCACCGCTGTAACATGACAAGCGGCTGAGACTTTTCTACTGTAGGCGCGACTACGAAATAAGATCAAATTAACTGGAGATTTCAGTGTTATCGACTTTTTTGTGTAAGAGTTCCAGGTTTACTAATTGCCAGTGACTGTGCTATTTCATGCGTGGGCTATGAGTCCTTGGTTTTAAATAGGTGCGAAAAAATCATCATTGGGACAGAAATCGGGCATGGGCCGGCGTACGTCACTACCCTGTGCAAGGTCGCTCATCGTGGCGTCCAATGGCAGGCCCGTCCGTTGAGGTCACAATAAAGTTCTGTCAAGACTAATCTTAGGTTTTATAAAGGCTGCTGAACGGCGTGGTGTCATTAAATTTGTAGAAGATGCCGAGACAGTTTTGTAGGTCGAAGGCCTCATTAAAGTGAATCAGCTTACTTCATTTGCGAGTGAGGAATTTAGCACTTTTTTAAAAGTGTCGAAAGTATAAATAAAATATCTGATATGGAAAAATGTGGAATTCTAAATCTGGTCTATTTATTTCACTGATTTCCTTCAGAACTCATCTACGTTCAACTAGCTTTTATACGGAGACTACTTATTAATATGTCTAACCCTGGCAATTCGGAGGGGATATGAGGGATCAAGAATTGCGGTTAACGATTTACCAGCTAGCTAAAACATGAGTAGATCAACTAATTTTGAACAGAGTAAGGAGAAAACGAACAGTCGAATCCTGAAGATGAAGGTAAAAAGGCTCCTGACATTTTGCAGAAAATTGACGATCAGTTCCAGTCGTCGGAAGTAGAAAATCCAATTTATTGGCTTTGATTGTTGGATGAGGCGTGAAGACATCGATCGGATTAGGAACAGTATAAACTTACGGAGCGCAGATTTTCGGCAACAGACAAATTGCGAAAGGCTGGGTGCTCGAATGTGAACTCTGACTCTGCCAGAGCCGCTAGCGTTTCTACGGCGTTCTGGGCGGCCTCTCTCACTTCACCCAGCTTGACTACAGCCTAGGAATTAGAAGAAGGCTGTCAAGTATAAATAAGAGAATTTCATAATGGGAAAAGCACGAGTGAGTTGATTCTTTCTGCGGGGTCAGTGCGAGCGTAATTAGGGAAGTATTGAGAAGCGTACGCTGAATAGACGGTGCTTAGGTGGGTGACATCCGTATCACGTTGGAGGTAGTATCAGATGAACGCCTTCAGTTTGCGGGATCTCCAGGGAACTGTCGAACAGACCATCTACAACCGGGGGGGGGAAGTCTGAATGTATGTTTAGAGATTCGACTCTATTGGTAAAATGCCGCCCTAAATACAAGTAACACATACAGTGAGTGACCGATCTCATGTAATGTTGGCTGAAATTCTAAAATGAGTTTTCGGTTAGGAAGGATTACTTAGGCGCGGTTGCAATACTGACTATCTTGCAGTATAATCGTATAGTATTTCGAACTCGACAGGTTTTCAGCTTTTGAATACATTGCTTTTCAATCTCCTGCAGAAGCCGTACTTGGTAAAAAATGACTATCTAAGTAGCATGCATTTTCCCATTGATTTTCAGTGATCTTGCAAATTAAAATGTATTTTATGGAAACACCGAACAAAAATATGCTTTCATTCAGTCGTTTGACAGAGACTCATGTCATCGTTATAATTTATATTCAAAAAGGAGAACAATTAGGTTTTAAAAAAGTTTATAATTATGAGAGTTTTTAGGACCGAACAATGTTCATTCATATTGCATCGTACCTGTCCGTTCAACACAGCTCCTCATGAAATGTTTAACATAGTCCGCATCTATTGCAAAATTTTATGGACTCTGTATGATAGCTTTTTAAAGGCATAGACGAATTTGTGATTTTCTGTACTAGGAACACATCCGCCTTGTAGACCTAAATCAATGAACGCTAATCCAAGGACCGATCAGGTTCCAAATTATTCGGCAATAAAAAAAATTTTAAAACTTAATTATACGACTTCTTCCAGCTTAAAATATAAACATGAATTGAATCTCCATCAAACGACTGAAAGGAAGCATATTTTTGTTGGGGGTTTCTATGAAATACATTTTGATTGACAAGATCACCGAAAATCAATAGGAAAAATGCATGCTACATAAGTGGTCATTTTTTACCAAGTACGGCTTCTGCAGGAGATTGAAAAGCAATTTATTCAAGAGCTGAAATCCTGTCGAGTTCGAAATATTATACGATTATACTGCAAGATAGTCAGTATTGCAACCGCGCCTAAGTAATCCTTCCTAATCGAAAAGGCATTTCAGAATTTCAGCCAACATTTCATGAGATCGGTCAGTTCAGGCAGCCTGCTTGCTGATACTCATGCAAACTATCCAACCGGCACATATGCAAACGAAACGAAAGAGCAAACCAGAGTGACCCCAAATTTTGGCGAACGCTCTTGTAATCAAGACCGAATCGAAAGTCGCCAGCTGCCTTCTTACATCCCTTGGGTTGTGTCTTGCACGCACCTCGGAAGCAACTAACAGGCGATTAGAAATGTGGCCATGAAATCTTCTGTCTCGGCGAGGAACGTCTGAAGCCCTTTACTGGATCTACTGAAATTTTTAGGTGAAGCAGATACGCTGGGAAAGCTAAAATATTGCTTGGGCTCGAATTCCCTAACATGCAGCAGCAATGAATAGGTATGATCTCGGAATTTCGGTTCGCGACTGACACGATGCGACCCGGCCACATCTTAAGGTTTGACGGGGCCAAAGTTTCAACGAGATGTGATAACCGCTTGAGTAGTAGATACATAACGGACACGTGCAATCTCCCTAAACTACCTTCCCACAGTGCCCGATAAAATCTCTTCGACACATTCTACACGAAAAAGGGCACTTTTCTGATAAGACTCGGTGAATAGGCTAAATGAGCAACGCTCCATGTGTCTATAAATGATCATCTTAGTCAGAATATTATTACCGACAAAGATAAGGGAAACTGGAGTGGCCATTTCGGGCCTATTAACCGACATCAACCAATCATACCCAACCCAGGAGTGTGCAATACCTGGGGCTGGATCCCACGACCTGTGAGTTAGAAGTCCAACACCTCTCAGCACCGTCTTCTAACCGGGCGATTACCACAGCACTAATCAACACCAGTGACGAAGTTGAGGCAAGTAACTACTTAAATGCGGCTGGAAAGGCGACCACCACGCTTGCGGTAGCCATTTTGCTACACTTTGTTTTTACAGAAATTTTAAAAATTACTCTTTTTCTTAGGCATTTTCTAAACTCCCCCTTATTAAACGTTGTTTAAACTGGTGTTGATTAACTACCACGCCGTGCACCCCTAAATTGGTGAGTTTTCCGGTTTCATTCATTGACTTTGTTCTTTCCTGTGCATCATGACAATAAGGCACTTTCCGGGTGGCTGTTTGGCTTGGCTACACACGACTTGGTATTAGCATGGCTTTTGACTATGGATCCTTGTTATGCGCCAAACATTTATTAAAAAACTGGCAGTAAACACGGAACTGCTAATTATGATGTGTATGTGATTGAATGGCGAACGCATTCCCCAAGTACTACACGCAATGTGCGTCCATAACTCTTCTCTGTAGCCGCCTTTGACAAAGGGGTTCAAATGAGGACCCAAAACGCTGGACAAACAAAGGTCTTGTAGCTGTGATTTCACCTTCCTCTTCTCAACTGTTTTCTGAAAGCCTATTTTTCTTTTGCGTCGATAGCTGAAGTTCAACAAAGGTGTTTATGCAAAAATGGACATAGCTGGTTAACGGAGCACATATCGAATGGATTTTAACCGATTACATGTCGCTGTATACAGAAAATAACAACTAAGATGTGGGACGAGGATTGTAATGTCTGGGTATACATGGTGATAAATCCGAAATGTACTCCGCTTCTGTCGTAACTCTTCTATGTTGCCTATGTTGTCTGAATGTCATCATCCCGCTGCATCCGTTTCGCGAAGTATTCAGGAATAGGTTATATCCATTAAGTTACGATACAATGGAAACATAATTGCGCCTTGCAAAATAGTACGCGAATGTAAGGAAATAGTCGGATAATTTAAAAAAGCTCCCTGTTTGACGTTTCACCTTGTGCTGCATTGGACTATCCACAGTTCGGAGTAAATTGTCCGCGATTTCGACCAAATTCCGTTTGCCAAGCAGAGCGGAGGGTTTGTCCTTCAACTGCGCCTCAATCTGATCCAGCCGCGTTCCAGCCCTCGAGAAGGAATTCGCACAAGCAGATTTCAAAGCGACTGTCGCAGCATCTATGCTCTTAGAAAGTTCTTTACGCCGTTCCTCGGAGTTTGGATTAAAAGCCAGAACTTCTCGAGTTTTTCTCAGGGGTCCAACTGCATCCCGAAGACCTTGACACCTTCTCCTAAGACGTCTTTGGAACTAAACACGACAGCCGACGGAAACAATCCAATAACGACATGAGTCATCAATAACAGACTGTGCAAAATGAAGTTTTGTTTTTACATAGAATACCACTAGACGCAAAATTTGTTTTTTTCCTGAAGCCGCACTTAAACTCGAATGCAGGCGATCACACGGTATCAAGTAACCAGTCGACTTGATGTTTCACCCAACAATGAAAAGGGGAATCAAAGTGGTCCTTTCTGGATTCTGTAAACTCATCTGCCGGACACATTTTAAATTCGAATCATGAGGACAACCATAAATGGCCACATCGGGCCTTCCGGTCTTTATCGGTAATGCGATTCGATCGCGAAATATAGCCTGTTGCAGATCTTGGAACTAATCCGCACTTGGACAGGCCTCCAACGCTTCCCTGCGCATTTTCTCTTCATGCCTACTACCTTAGAAAGTTAGCTTTCAGTGTTCAGAATAAATCATGTTGAGGAGTATTGATTCCCATTGGATGAGAGGGAACGAAAATAGGCAGAAATGTGAACAATTGCAGTGTCTGCAGCTTACTCGACAATTCTTGCGGACTGGTGAACGAACCTGACGAACGCATATACGAACGATTCAAAGCCGGAACTATTAGATTCCAACAAAGACAATATAAACGACGATTTCTGGTTAGAATCTGCAACATCCACTGCTCTGTTAGTTTGCAGATCCTCCGCGTATTGTTGAGAATGCTATGTGCATCACAGATATATTCAGAGAGAAGCTTATCAAGTGATTATGTTATAGGCAAGTTGAAAGTCCACGGTTTAAACCTTAAAGCACGACTGGACTGCGCGGTCAGTACCTGGGATGAGGGTGTTTTGATAGTGTCCTAGGGGATTTTGGGATCGTGTTCAGATGGTCCTACTTAAAGTACAGTCCTGCTGTGGATTCGACACACTTTGACGAAGCGACCGACATATTTTCGGGTTTTGGAAGAGCGTTAAACCTACATTTTAAGTCAGCCGTCAGAATTTTGCTTTTACTGCGTGCTCGGAAGCTTCGTCTATCTGGACACAATGCCAGTGATTAAATTTAACGAGTTCAGTTACATGTCGTCTGGAGAAATTCGCTAAATGTGTCTTCGATTGCAATTTTGTGAGTCAAAACGTATATTTCGGTATGGTAGACTACCGTGGTTAACTTCTATTCAATCACAATTTTTCTTGTGTCAACAGAGAGACGTGTAACTAAATATCGTTCAAAGGTCTAAAATGTATCATAGGCTTCGGTTGGGAATCCGCCAACCATGACCAATTTTAACTTAACAGTTGCCGTTTACGCCTACTGTTAGACAGATCTGACAATGAGTCGCGGGTACATTTTGAAGGTACATATGTTTATCAAGTTGATGTTAATCAGAGAGAGTTTGCAAACATTACCTCAACAACCCTTGCATCGATGTGCCTCTTATTATCAACATTATTTTCCATGATATCATCTTGATTGTCGGCGGCTTTTAAAATGGCAGAGGCAACTCAAACTGCCTAGTGTTTAAACGTGTTACACGTATATCTCATTTTCGTAACCCGCATCGGTTAAATGATAGTTGGTAGCCCTCCTGACATCGCAAACTCCCAGCTGCCTGTCAATCGGGACCGGTGGTATAAGGGGCTATACGGGTGGGAAAATTGAGTGGACAGGTAAATGGCGAGTGTAATATATGCTAGAGATTGACGCTCCTAGTAAAGTGGAAGCCTAATTTAGATTAGGTGAAAAATACAAGGAAGGTATGGAAATGAGCAAGGAGACTTTGAAAGGTGTGCGGAAAAAATGCATTCTAGCCTTAGATTGGAAAGAAAAACAAGTGAAGGCGAACAACTAATGGAAAGAAGGCAACTGGTCCGAAGGTCATTCCGCAGTGTGTGCGATAGAACTCCATCCAACATAATAGACAGAAGAACACGAGAGTCAAGCAGTGGCCCGCGGAACGCCGCAACGCAAGCCGGGTAAGACTTTTATGCGAAAAATTGATTTGGCGGAAGAGAAAAACCACAAATAATGAGGCAGTCGAAAGCTACCTCTGCTAATGAAAAGGGTAAGCCTCATTGCCATCGTTACCGGTGCCAATCCGCCCCAAATAGTACCTCTACAATGAATGGGTCAGTCAAAAGCTACCTCTTTTTATCAAATTTGATGTAGGGTAAGCCTTATTGTCATCGTTACCGGTGCAAATTTGCCCAGGATAGCACCTCTAAAATGAATCTGATACAGGTAATACAGCGTGCGCGTGAATTTCGTAGCATAATGAGAACGCAATCACGGCTACTGAAATCGAGCCAGTAGGTACCATTGTGGAGTCAGTGGGCACGGCTAACAACTATCATCTTACCCCCGCATCTTCTGAAGACGTGGTGGTTTTGCAAAGTCCCAAACATATGTATATTCATTGCTACAGAACAGCAGCTTTCACAAAGATAGCAGAAGATTTGCCACGACAGCTAAAGCCAGCAGACAGACACTGGCCATTGCGACCTCCAGGCCCGGTCCCAAGTAGAGAGAAGAGGTGGACGTTGGCTGAAAGGAGGTTGTGTTCTGTAGAGAACAATTGGAAAACGGGTTGAAACCAGTTGGCAGCCAGACGGGAGAACACACGTCCCACACAGGTCGCATGGCTTACCTGGTGCAGCTCCTTGAACGAGCGCACATCTGATTCAGCCTTGAGGCTGATTGGCCAGTTTGAAAGGATGTGATTGGCCGAGACCCAGGCTGCCAGGTCTGCCTAGCAGCATTTAGAACCTCGCTGATGTGTACAGAGTGCATATGTTTTTGGCCGATGACAATGACTCAGTAATTTATATTTGTTAATAATAGGGTGGATCTTGTATCGTAACTGTACGTGCAGTAAACAAGCCCCAGCCAAGCCTCTAACCCATGATCCTAACCTTAATCCCCAACCATAGCCTCTAACCCTAACCCCTTGACCTTTACCCCAAACCCCAAACCCCTAACTCCTAACAGGTACGGCTACAAAACGAAATTTTGTCCACAATAGAAACAATTGTCGATAGAGGCAAAGAGACGAGTAACAGGAAGCAGTCGTAAAGAAGGAGATACGATCGCTGGGACAAGAGCTTTATTCGTCTGAGCTTTCGGATTCCTGCTCTAACCTATCTCTCGTACCTGCTATTGTCTCTTGTGATGGGGTTAAGCAGGAATCCGAAACTTTAGGCCAATAAAGTTCTTGTCCCAGTGATCGTAATAATTGTACACTGAAGTTAAAGTATAGATATCGTCCAGGAAATACCGAAAAGTTTGGGGCTTGTGCACAGGCAAATCGCTGGACTGGACAATGGGGTATGTGATAAACCACGGTGCTCCGTTAGGTGCAATAACATAACGATGGAAATAACTGTTGGGATAACATGCGAATGCGCATGCGTGCCGGACCTCCATCTCAAAGCCTAAACATATTGTAGACAATCGGCGAAAGATCCATTCGGATTATTGGTCCACTGGGACGCGTTCAATGACTAGAAGAAGACGACTACGACGACGATGATGATGATGATGATGATGATGATGATGATGATGATGATGATGATGATGATGATGATGATGGGGAGGAGGAGGAGGAGGAGGTGGGCAATGAAGATGGGTGGAGAAAAAGTTTGAATTGTTAATCTAATTAATGCGAATTTAACATTACCTCATCTACGTGCTCCTTGAGACAAAGATCGCAAAGCTGTCGGTCGCAATGAGGACACATCGTGCAATGGTCACGCAGATCCCTGCAAAACTGACAGGCCACACGCCGCGATATTGAGTTTCTTCTCTTCGCCAAATAGTTTTGCACACGTTCCTCCAACTCTCCGTTTTGCTCCAGTAAAGACTCGTGAACCTCAATGTGACAGTAGGGGCAGCTTCCAAAATCGGAAGAGGGCGTCCGAAGAAGGCATGGCCGACGACAGAAACTGTGGCCGCATGGAAGTTGGTAGGGGTTTCGAAAGCTGACAGGGAAGTAAAAAAAACAGAAGGCATTGTCAGAACTGAAACAGGCGAAATCAAAACGGGTCAGAATATTGACGGAGAATTCGTCGCAATGATTTCTTTTGTGCGCGTGTGATCCTACGAAGATAGCATTTAGTCATCCCCAGCTCTATGTAGGGGGTATAAATTAAAGCTCCACATAAGCTCACTTTTTCAAAGATCGACTAGGAACGAATCTATATGGGAGCAAACTTCCTTTGGCCTCATGCAGCCGACCCCTCTATCGTCAAAATGTTCTTCCTTCATAGGAATGCAGAGGGGTAAGTCAACTCCACTAAAACCCTTCTCAAAAGGAACAGAAATCTGAAGGAGGATTTCGTGTTAACGACTTACTGAGACCATGCTTGTAAAAGGTCAGGGCTGTTAGTTTGCAAGGTGCTCGTTTTTGCCTTCATGTACTATCTTCAGTGTATATACTTTTCAAATAGGATTCATGTACAACGAATTGCGACTAAATGAACATTTGATTTTGAGGTTATCTCAGGTCGGAGGAAAGTATTTCCACAAGAAAAGCGATATGGGGAGATTTAACCCAGACTGCCTAATTTACTTTGCCACTTGGCTTTAAATTGTCATAAATCAGAAGTTATGCAGACGGAAGTTAAACGTGTGCTTCTAAAACCATAGTCCTACCAATCGACCACCATTTACTGTCCTTAACTTCGAGCATACATTGAATATTCTTGCCAGTTTTTCCACGACAATGGGGGAGGCTAGAAACACCACCATAATCCTATAAATTCTACGCTGTCACATATTTATTCGCTTTACCTTCAGCTCAGTGCCTAAGAGTTCAACAAAAGTACTAAATATGAACGCCCAGAAGACATACAGATCCTTGCATATGCCACATGTAAGATTTTTGGCCTCAGTCATGTCGGCAGGAATATCGAGACAGCTAGTCGTTTACGCTAAGTTGCGCGACCAGTGTCGTGATAGGCGTTTGGAAGGTGATTCGATTTGGCCAATGAGGTCCGCGCTCTGGCAGGCGAATGCGTTTTCTGATAGGCGGATCACGTCCTGTGTCGAGGCGATTAGGGTGTGTTGCACGGTAGTAACTGCGAACTATCGACCGCTGCGGACGAAGTTGTCCAGACTTTAGGGCTATCTGGATGACTGCGCAATTACAAGTTCATACTGAGAGTCTGCAGGCGAACGTGCGCTGTGCAAAACGTTCTCAGTGAAATCTAGAATACACTTTGTGATTAGTCGTAGTTCTTCGTATGAAGGCACCCGTGAAAGTGCCTAATGATCGTTCAGCGTAAGTGCCCAAGCAAGCAAGAACCTGTGGAGGTCTCTGATGGCAGACTGGCCAATCGAACAGCGGTGTAAGGACATTGTGCTTTACTTTATGTATAAATTTCAAGGGCTAAGCGAGTCCGGACAATAGAGGTGATTATTTAGCTGCAACGATTCGTTTAAAGGCTTGCAGGTAAACTGATAGACGAGTAATAAGATTGAATTTTGCAAGATAAAAGCCGGTAAAAGTTTAAGGGATGGCAGTGTTCACAAAAGTGGATAAAGTATTTGACATCATTAACTACTACCTTGTTTAATTTCCGAGAAGATTAATGCGCGAATTCGGAGCAGATCCCTCGGAAGAAAGCCTTCTTAAACTCAGTCCGACAGTCGAAATTTAACTTCGAACTAAAATCCACCAACTACTTGGAGTGCCTGCGTAAAATTTAAAAACTGCCGACAGTATACAAATACGGAGTTATTATTGTGGTAACATCACAAGTATTTGCGATTTTGTGCAACTAGTGCTTGTACCTAACGTATGTGCTGCCACAATGGTAAATCATTCAGTATAATTAAATATGAGAATTTAGGTTAACATCGGCTTCACCCAAATCTACTCCCGTTTCAAGCTTATGAAGGAATCACTTATATTGTCCAACTTCTGACAGAACGTGGAAACATATGGTAGCACATATGGTTTTAGAATATATTCCAGGGAAATTAGAGTTAGGATTAAGTTCAAAGTAGAGATAAGGGTTAAAATTAGGGCTACTTCTAGGTTTTTGGGCAGTGTTATTTTTAGGTTTCGGATTCTAAAACAGGCACCCTTCAGTAAATTTATCGAAGAGCACCACTGAGTGATGTTCCTTCACTCGTGTCTTGTCGACGGAAACCATACAAGTGTTCCTTAACCAAACTTTTTTTTATCGTAAGAGGTAACCCTACCAACATTCTAAAGTCTACCGTTCCTCCTGTATTTCGTCAACTCCTCCCTTAAGGTCGTGTTTTTACATCTAGTTACAAACTGACAGTAACAATGTTACAGAAGGCCACAGATCCTGCAGCTGCGTTGCTTAACCTTTATTTCCAGTTTTCGCTTATTCGTGACAACGAAGTCTAGGTAAATAGAATAAATCAACAGAAGTCCTTTAAATAAAATGAACTTTAGAAAAAACACTGCAGAACTGTACCAAACCTTGAATTTCATATACATGTATATGTGAGATGGTGCCGACAAAGATAAGGGAGACCGGAATGGTCATTTCTGGCTTATAAGCCGTCATCAGCCAACCCCAAGTTTAGATCACTTGAGATTCGAACCTGAGATCTTTGGGCATGGAGTTTGACACTTTATCATTGAGCCACGGGCCAGTCGTCCTGTCTGTAGCATGAGCCCCAAGGCACAACGGAAGGAGCATGTTCCGTAACCTGATCAGTGAGCGCCCACTGGCATAATTGGCATTCCCGATCACAACCGACAGGACAACGGGCCCGTGGCTCAATGGCGGAGTGCCAAACTCCATGACCAATAGTCCCGGTTTCGAATCTCAAGTGATCCACACTTTGGGTTAGGAATGACTGGCTTGTGATGGCTAGTAAGCCAGAAATGGCCATTCCGGTCTCCCGTGTCTTTGTCGGCCCCATCTTATCTACGTCTACTACTAGTCGCTGTGCGACTGCCTGCGAGAGTTCTAGTATGAGCCCTAAGGCACAACGGAAGGAGCATGGTCCGTAACCTACCTGATCGTCGAGCTTCCACTGTCATAACATATATATGTATATATCGGCGAGGAGGGACGATAGAGTCTGGGGGTTAGATTGATACAGTACTGTTTCGGGCTTATTCTGCCTTCATTCAGCCAATCATAACCCTGACCAGCAGCTGGGACCAGAAACACAAACATGCGACCAGACGATCCTGGCACAACTGGTCTACCATTGGGGTCTACCAGATGGGTCATAGGCAATTTATCGAACCGCAATTTCGGCCGAGGATTCGAATAGACCCTGAAGCAACTTCTGCGATATTGAAAGGCCCTATATAGTGAGTCGAGGACTTGTCAGATGATCCAGGCTGCAGCCTATCCTGGTACCAGTAGACTTTATCGTCAGGCTGGTAAGGCGCACTTTGCACACGGTGATCTTATTACTGATAGAAGCGAACACGCGATTTACAGAAAGCAATTAGGAGACGAAGATGGGATTATTGGAGCAAGAAATGTGTTGGCCTTACGTACTGTATTTGTCGCTGGTGATACACGGAGAGACAGGCGCGAGCAAGCACGCGTACGCAATGAAGGTTAGCTCTTAGTTTTCGTACACATTTGTAAGGTTGATTGCGCGACGGAAGAGGAAGCGGTGTTCATTGGGAGACGGACTTAGTGTTCGCAGACAATGGCAAATGGTCATGATCCGTTGATGAGCGAGCGGCTAAAAGGTAGGCAGTAATGCACTGCGGTAATACGGAACCCCAAAAGGAGCCAAAAGAGCTGCCGACGAACGACCAACTCCGCCCTCTGGGTGCAAGTACTGAAAGTGTTCTGAATGACACGGCGTTCGTGTGAACACCAGAAACGCCACAGCGCATCCGTGTCTATGCGTAACTGGAAGGGGTTACCCATGTCAATGTGAAGACAGGCACGTGTGTCTCTGTTAGATTGTATTGTGGATGAAAACCAAGCGACCTGGATAGATAGCGGGATACTGAAATCATAGAACGTTGTCGCAGAACCGAAGAGAGTTTCATGAAGACCAAAGACAGTGAGTTTTCCAGACGGAATCTTCTACCTCATCGCCTGCAAATCTTGATGTCCCTTGACGCAGTCGATCGTAAATCAGAAGTGTTTAAACTTCTGCGGCTGGAGCTGGCCTCCATCATAAGTTGTCAGGAATGCTAATAGTAGCATCAGTTGTCGTCGACGCACAGATGCGTTTGTGTCCAGCTAGACAGAGTGTACGCGTTCTGGTGCTATTTACCGGCACAATGGTCGCTTATATACTGTAAAAGGCGTCGTGGCAGTCCGCGCTTCCTTGCTCTCCGCCGCTTTGTCACACAGCCCTCCTGTCCGCCTCACACTCCCTGTCGATTCGTTGCCGGGACCACACGGGGCTTGTCCCTAGACTCGCGGGTGCTCGATACCTCGATTGCGGACCCGACACAACTTGCCTGGATAGATCACCTGCAGGGACTGCGCGCAGAGCCTCCGTGTTTGCACTGCCTAAGCAACAAAAGTTTTTCTAACCAATCCGCTTTGGGAATCTGTATGTTATCGACCATGCATACCATCCCGACAGTTTGTCTGCCTTCAAGTAGGCTGATCAGTGGGTTCTTGGAATTTTTTCGACCAACGAAATGTCGGCCAGATAGTGGTTGAATATCCTAACAAACCTGACGACAGGGAGGAGCTGATCAACCGGTGATTGAATAGTGACGTTTGAGTTTAGTGGGCATCTGGCTGGTATAAGCGAGCAGATGGTCAAGGTCATCTGCTTGCTTTTAGGATAGGCCTGCCTAGTCATCACATTAAGAGCGTCAGTGTTCAATATGAAAGGGAAGGCCGAATAGAAAAAATGTCGAGGAGCCAGGCCGGGCGCGATGGAAATGCTTCAAAAAGCCTGTCGCGCTGTTCAGGCCAATGAATAGAGGCCTGTTTGCTAGTAAGACGATTAAAAGTCGCAGCGGTATGCGGCAACATCTATGATAAAATGTTGGGTACGATATGAAGAGGGACACCACTTAAATGACGGCAGACTGTAGATAACGTCATATGAGATTTTATCTTGCCATTCATTCGCAGGCCTTTGTAGACAATACACTGCCAATAACAATCGCTTGCCGTGACTTCAAACCGTCACTCAAACTCCTTTATTTTTTGAAATTTATTTTTGTTTATTTTTAATTACCGCGCTCACTTTCGTTGTCGTACGAAAGCGTACGATGAGTCTTTCGGGAGAAATCTAAACAATTTTTGTGTTTTCCTGCATTTCGTCAGCTTACTGTCAGGTGTGCTGTCCCACCCGTACAACTCCCCTTACCAACAACCACGTATGACAAGACCCACTGCCTACCGACAGTACATTGGGGTCCTTCTCCATACCGTTGCCAAATGGTGATGTACGGAAGCTAAACCTAAGAAATTGCGAAGTTCGCAAACGGAAACAGGTTCTAGCCATTGCCTGACCTGCTAAGTCTTGGTAGGGTCTGTTATTATCCCATCCATGGAGACAAAGACCCAAGGATGGGATGGACGTTATAAGGAAGTGACGTTAAGTTGGTTTAGTCTCATTGCCTGGAGGCGGCTGCTAGCGGCACTTTTGCTCGAATTCCACTGCACAACGAGTCTAGTATGTCCCCCGACAAGGTCGGTTTGCGTCCATTTATCCACTTGCCCGATGGCAATTAGCAAGAAAACTGTTATAATGTTGGACTTCTACTCGACAGCACGCAGGCTCGGGCCTATGCGGTTACGAAAACTCAGGTTTGCATATGGGGTGGGGGAGGGGGGGGGGTGACGGCTAATAAGGCAATACCGGTAGGGGCGCTCAGCGAGCCTCGGGTGTTCCACTCTTAGGGGTTGGGAATGACTTGCTGACGACGGCTAATAAGCCAGAAACGGCCATTCCAGTCTCCCTTGTCCTCGTCGGTAATAACATAAGGTATTAGTGGCCATGCTATTCCTTCTTGTTTTTTCAGTAATGCTATTCTGCCTACATCACTGTCTGCTTTTGGGTTACTGGTGATGCTCTAGATGGATCCCCAAAACATATCACGATGGGTATGACTCGTGCCGCAATTGACGAGCGAGGGGAGAACGCAGGTGAAACATTTCCAAATATTGCATCCTCATTTTCCTGAAGAACGTATTCGACTTCAAACTATATCACTTTGGATGATTTCCTTCCATTGTATATGTGTTTCGCCTCTGTTACCATGGCTGGGCCGACTCCGGCCTAGTAGGTATTTGCCTTTTCGTGACCTTTGCCATTCATACGTACCTTGTTTGCCTCGGGAATCCAATGGATCGGTGTGAGCACATTCCTGAATGAATAAATGCCCGATATGCAGTGATGAAGAATGACAGGTGGCGTGACACTGATGAACTTCGGTTCGATGAAGTGCTTATGACCCATCTGCTGGAACCCTAGTGTTGGTGGTGGTGGTGGTGAGCGCACGTTTGCGTGTCTGGTTCTAGCTGCTGGTCAGGCCTATGGTTGTCTGAATTAAGGCACAATAAGTCCAAAACAGCACTGTATTAATCTTAACCCGTAATACAGCTACTGCAAATGACGGTGGTCAGAAACATAAAAGTGTTTGTGAGGACATTTTTAGCGTTGAACCCGGGGAAGTACCTGACGAGTATTATAACTCAAACCGAGTAAAAATATCCAGTCGAGAGGTCAGCTTCTACATGCTGTGTAGCCGAGTTTGGTAGGCCGTAGAAGCGCACCATTGCAGCATCACTGGCTTTTGCGGCCAGCGCTTTCCTTCTAGTACGAGCGCCCGCCTTCCGCAGCTTGCCGATCGTCTTGTTTATGCTGTTTACGAGCTTTTTGAACTCGCTGCCCCTTGTCGGCGGGCAGAATGACGATATCATACAGTTTTCGTATTTTCAGAAGTTCTCGTTCTTCTTCCTTAGAAATCGTCGTCTGGCGTTTATGTTGTAGGAGTAAGGTCGACACTTGTTTTCGCATGACGTTTTTGCACTCCTCGCCTGCCTCACACTTCTGGAGTGCCGATTCGAAGGATGCAATAAATTCTTTTGGTCGAGCATCTCGTGTGCTGAACTTTGCGTCATAGGATAGAATGGCTAGTTGTTGCTGAGTGAAACGATGGGAGCGCAAGTTGTGAACCAAGACGCCGTCAGTGAAGGGCTCCTTTGGCGGACTTATTTCGTCGAATTTTCAAGACAACTGGTCATCACGCAATTTGCGGTGATGCCGTGCACTGTCGAGAATTTCCGCTTTGAGGATTCCCAGCTCGTGTGCCGTAAGGATCGACTGGCAAGTTGACAAATGCTGCTCAATCATCTGGCGGTATTTGTGAATGTAATAACACCAAAACAACCTCATCTACTGCCTACGAAAACGCCTCCATCGTCACCCTTGCGCAACATGCACGACGCCTACGGCGACGGTCACAACTACCGATTTCTTGTTGTCTTTGTATACCACCACCTCCATCGTTACTGCCACGGCCCCTGCAAGAACAGCAACTACAAGCACACCCCACACTACCTTTGGCTTGGCGACCGCACTACCACCTCTTGCTCAGGAATCGCTCTACGTCATGCTGTCAGTAATGATGGATTTGAGCGTAAATTCGAAGCGTCAGGCAACTAAGGCTGTTGTTTCAAGCATCGTGTCTAATCCCCCGCCCTGACTCGTGTTGGCCGTTGTATCTGTGTGAGAAGAGTCCCGACGGCCTGCTAATTGTCACCCTCACCAACGCCCTCATCGTCAACGCCACCATCACCACGCTCATATCGCCGGCGGAGGAGACTCGATTGCTACGTTTCGCAGAGGTCGCGCATACACATCACGCATTCACCTTTTATTCCGAAATGAAACTGGCGAAGCACTAACAAGAGCTTTTGCATACAGTAGATGTGATAACTCATTAAATGTTGGCCGAAATTCTGAAACGCGTTTTCGTTTCGAAAAGATTGATTAAGTAGGGTGGTGGGATAAATCATCTGGCAGCATTGTCTCACCATAATTCAGCTACTTTAAGATGCCGGCTTTTAAACGAACTTCTTTAAGGCCGTCTGCAAAAACAGCGGCTTGCGAAAAATTACTACAGAATTAGTATGAGTTTTTTCATTGATTATCGATCTCCTTATAGACTCAAATATATTCTATAGAAATCGTATGTTAAAACGTTCATTGTATTACTTATTTAGTAGAAAATATCATCTTCAAATGTTATGCCTAAAAAAGTATAATTCGGTTTTAAAACACTTTTGCTATTGTCTAAGTTCAGCGAATATTCCCATGATATAATTGAAAAGTCAAATTGGCAAACACGTGTTTTCAGTAACTCTTCATCAGGCCAAAACGGTTACATAGAAGTTTAAGTTATGTAAATTACATTACTCATAAGTGATTCGGGGACAATTAACATCCATCGTTCCCCACTTTTGCTATTTCCAGAAAATTTTGAACCCGACCTGCAGTTACACTTGCTTTCTGGGTTTCCAATCAAGAAACAACCAATTTTCTGTCTACGGAAAACCATGCACTACTATACTGTATTAAGAGAGGATCGTATTGAGTCCAGTTAATTTGACAGAGATCAGATCAGATCAGATCAGATTTATTAAGGGAAAGGTAGGCGAGCGCCTTTTAACTCCCTTTTGGTTACAATAACGTCATAAAAAACAATGCGTAAGGCAAGTGTGAAAAAATTAGGTAAGTAATTACATACAACAAGCATTGGTCACTAATATGAATTCGTCTGTGAATGCATTCTATGTCAAAATTGTACAATATCCAGTACGGTCCTGAATGGGCCAAGTAATATCGAAGCCAGCGCATATGCGGCGTTCAGGAGATAGCTAAAATTGTAAAACGTACTGTTACTAAAATATAGGGAGTAGCATGCTTTGTAACATAAAACGTTGGGGGGGGGGCGGGTGGCACAGGGAGGGAATTCGTTAGTTTCTGATGCTGTTGAGGTACATATCCCTGTACTGGTCAAGCTTTCTCTTAAATGAGTCCACGGATGAGGACATGACGACATCCACAGGCAGGGCGTTCCATGCCTTTACCACTCTATGGCTGAAGAAGGACCTCCTTGCGTCCAGTCTCGCTCCTGTCACACGTAGTTTCAGAGGGTGTCCTCTCAAGCTAGTAGTGATGGCCAGCTCAAAGAAGTCACCGGATGCGAGGCAGCAGTCCTGACCCCGTAACATTCTAAACGTTTCAATTAAGTCGCCACGGAGTTGTCTGTAGTCCAGGAGAAAGAGGTTAAGATTTGACAGTCTAGGTTCGTATGGTAGGTTTTTGATGACCTCTGACATGCTTGGTTGCCCGTCGTTGGACTTTTTCGAGGGTGGTACGATCCTTAACAGTCCAGGGTCTCCAGGCCTGAATGGCAAATTCTAACTGTGGGCGCACAAACATCCCGAAGACCTTGCGAAAGCACTCTTCGTCGAACTTGGCAAATGCCCGCTTCATGAGATAAAAGCTGGCCATTGCGGATTTCTCTGCATTCAAGCAGTGGAATGATGGCTTTAGTGAAGATGTTATCCACACTCCTAGGTCTTTCTGAACCTCTACCAGTGGCAGCGGTATGTGATTTAGATAGTACGTCTGCCGGTGCTCAGAGATGGTTCTGCCAATCCTCAGAATGTTGCATTTGGTAACATTAAATGGGAGGAGCCAGTGGCCTGACCACTTTTCGAGTTGGTCTAAGTTTGCCTGTAAATGTGCTTCATCGTCCTCGTTGCGGATGACGATCCAAAGCTTTATATCGTCAGCAAACATGGCAATTTCGCAGTCCAATCCATGGATACAGTCATCAATATAGATGAGGAAGAGGATAGGGCCAAGAACGGAGCCCTGAGGTACTCCGATCGTAACCGTCACCTCTGCCGATTGCTGGCCACCAAGACGAACAATCTGGGATCGACCGACCAAAAAGTTTTCAATCCACTTCAAAAGCTTGCCTCTCACCCCTATGCGGCTGAGCTTGTATAGCAGACGTTGGTGTGGCACGCTGTCAAAGGCCTTCTTGAAGTCTATGTAGTCCACAAGCACAACGTTTCCTTCATCAATCGCTCGGGTCCACTGTTCAAGACAGTAGAGTAGATTGGTCAAGCAGGACCTCCCTCTGCGGAAACCATGCTGTGCATCGCACAGAAGATGATTTTGCTCTAAAAACCGCATCAGTTCGCGTTTGATAATTCGCTCCATAACTTTGCAGCATATGGAGGTGAGGCTTACTGGTCGGTAATTGTTTGCGGAATAGCGACTGCCACTTTTATGAATCGGTGGAATCCACGCAGTCTTCCACTAAGGAGGCAGTCTGCCTGCATCAAGAGAGGCTTGGAAAAGGAGACTCAGAGGTTCTGCCAATTCTGTGGCTAATTCCTTTAACAACTTTGCCGCTATTTCGTCAGGACCGGGCGAAGTCCCTTCTTTTAGCTTCAGTAAGTCCTGTTGAACAATAGGTTTTGTGAGAACTACTGAGTCAATTGTCGGGACATTGTCCACATTGCAGTGATCAGTGGGTACAGCGACTTCTCTCGTAAAAACCGACTGAAAGAACCTGGACAGATGCTCAGCACTGTGATCATTTTCTTCTTGCAGTCTGCCATCGCCCGTTGGCAAAGATCAGAGTACACAGCCAGTCTATATATGAGGCACTTCGATAGGACGTTCTCATCAAGGCACCTGTGCAGGAATTTCAGCTGAGCGTAGGTGGAGGACTCTCGCTTCACGAAGGTCTCCCATCTGCGTGCTGAGCGGAGGGCTGAGCGCCCATAGCATACATCGATATGGGCAAAGATTTGAGGTTCAGATATTGTATCGCGTTCATCATCCCCCGAAGAAGACGAAAAAGAAGATAGGGCGAATTCATGGATCGAGTTATATTTGTACTGGCGTTTCGGAAACCCTCTCGTTTCCATCATCAGAGTAATTTGTTGACTGTACCTGCTGATCTTGATCGCGTCAGCCTTGATACCTGCCTGTTATTATATCCGTGCGGGAGGCACGAACTATGACTTGTCCGTTCGCCGCCGATTAGCGTTGACTTCTCCATGACTGACCGCCGGTGGGCTCCTTACCCTAATGACCTCTCCAGCTTACTACAGCTTACTGTAGAAGCCTGGATCCTCATGCAAAATCGTGGTGTTAGGAGAACGCGAAGTTCAGCACACCATTCTTATTGTTAAATGTTCACGCGCAGGAGAGAATCGCCATACAGCAGAAAAACCTCATTTAACCGCGCGTCCATGAGTCAGTAATCACCGCGATAGCTGGCAACCAAACACGAGATTTCTGCGTCCGGAATCTACAGGGGTCTACTCAGCTGCACAAATCGGTATGTACGTTGAAGTTGAAGGCTTAATGTTAGGGCTAGGATAAAGTTTAAGTGGTAAGCTTGGGGCTGGTCGCACATGCTTCATATTAGTTCCTTCGACATCGCTCTCACAGTCGTTAGAGCCGCCGCTGGCTCATGTTGTCTTCACCTGTTATGCCTTACGTACGCGCGTTTGATAACCTCCAAGGCCTGTAAAAGGCCATAGAGCTGTCATTTCTTATTGGGCAGGCTAGATAATCAAAATGGAATCCATTTTAAACTATCCGAGTAGATTTCGTCTAGAAACGTCAAGGGAATATGGAAACATGGCATTCGAAGACTGCGTCTGGAAAAAAAGTTAAACATCTATTGGGCAAAGGCCTGACTGATTCTGAAACCACGCTATCCCAAAAACTGAGGAACATACGTATTTCCAGAATATATGGATTGTAATAATTGCCTAAAAAGGACATAGCTATACGACCACTTCTGCCTATGTCAAGGAAATAAAACCAATCCGACACCGATTTTTGTCTTATACGATAAAGGACAATTTTCATTTTATTGAAGGAATCAGGCCTGTCTTTCAGCCTAAATGCTACTTGACTTATTGAAACTACACGGAAAATGTTCAATTGCAGTTAAATGGTCAATTATACAGACAAATCCACAGAGTAGCAATTGTTGACAACAACGGGGAAGCCGAAGAACTAACTATTACCATGAACAGTCTCTTTTCGAAGATCATATTCACATTTGGAAAAAACAGTGCGATAAGCCATCTTTCCTGAACGTTCTCATGACTAGACAGGGATATTTTCAATAGGGCTGTCGGCTATCCATACGGATACATGTAAAATGTCAATACACACACTTCTTGAGCTTTGTACAACAAAATCAAAGCCTAGTGTATATTCTGTTCCAAAACGCGAGAAATACTTGCTCGATTGGGACACTGGATGCAGAAAGCGCTCGTCCCAAAAGAACATTGCATAGACGGTGATTTCCAACACGTTTCCTCCAAAAGTACTGCAAAACCCTACGGCAAAAACTGACGAAACAATCAGCCTCAAAAAGCCCGTCATCAAAATTTTACCCTTTAGGGGTATAACAGTCTAAATGTTGCCGAACGATGATTGAGCTACGCCATTGAATGGACACACAGCAAAGCCAAAATCATGTTCAGCACTCCCCCACCGTTAAGGTTTAAGTATATGTCCGGGGTGAGGAAAGCGCATGAATAACTGCCAACAATACTTTCAAATGTAGGTATTATTAGGTAGTTTTCGGTTTGCCCTTCGTCGGCAGCATGTCAGTTGCGGACGTGTATCTCCCCGATGAGTCAGCGATGTTGATATGTTAGTTCGTTGTTCTACATCCCCATATGTAATTCATTAGTAAAAGTGATGCCCGCTTTTAGAAAAAAACTCGGCAGAGAGAGTGGTCGAGTAGCAAAAAATACTCGAAATTTTGTGATATACAGTGTGTGCGTCCGCCAGTAAAGCAGGCGAGTAAAAACGCTGGTAAACTTGTTAAACAATAGTTAACATCTTCTTACCCCAAGCATATATTTAATCCTTGTTGTCCCCACCAAAGTTATGCCAATTCCACGGGCAAAGGATGCCTTGCCATTGCGCGACGCCTCAAAGTGTTTATGAACTCATATGCACTTGTGCATGCAAGTACATTGGGCGAACGCAAAGCGAACTAGCAGTCAGGTCAGTTGAGCACCTGCTCAAATGGCTTTTAAAGCAGGAAAATGAAATTGCTCCTTCTTCTAGCACGAAGTGCCTCCTTGATAACGGTCAGTTCGTCGATCCCAAAACATCCTTCTGAATATTAGTTCGGGCACGAACGACTCGGACCTTGCGCTACTCGGAGACTATCTACATACGGCTGAACAAACCAGGCTTACGCAAAGAACTGGCCGATGAGGTAAACCTCAACTTGCCTAGGTAACTCTTATTCCTTTAACTTACACATTCCCTCTGCGTGTTAACTTTCGCACTTTCTTTCGTAAATTTTGTTTTTAAGTTACCATTTTTAGTGAGGTATGTGTGCATTGAACGATGAATTTACTGTTTCGCATTGAGTTTTCCTGTTGAAATTCAAATCTTTGTATATTTCCCATTTGTTATCTCTGTTATGCCGTGACATGTTGCAGTTGATAAGCCGTCGCGAAATTTGTTGGTTCCAATAAACTCTGCTATGTATGCCTGTTTTAAATTAATACCGAGGAGATATTGTTTCAAATTCCTGTATTCACTGATTGGTCGAAATCGGGCACATTCATGAGCCAATGAATTTTGGCCGGCACTTGCCAGGTGCAACGGTTGGCTGCAAATGCCTGATGAGTTGCCTGCACGCCAATGTCGCCGCAGTAAAGCTTGCCCAATGATCCTATCTTCCTTGGATTGTGATCTGGGACTCCTCGTTTGTCTGAAAAGTGTCCTTTCCTCATAATCTGCCGGCTTCTCCGACGTAGTTGATCTGTCCACAACTGCCGCAGTTCCGGAAAACGACGCTAGACGGTATTTGTCACGGCACTAGGCCCTTTGGTCTCAACCTGGCAGTATGTAAAAGCTGAAAATTAAGTCGCCTGGAGTTACGTATTTGATGACACTGACAGACTGAGCGTTTGGCTGAACAGATGCCTTTTCAAGTTTAATGTGTTTTATGACAGCTCCCGCGATCGCCATTTCGCCTTCTGTCCCGCCGCGCGCTCTCTGTCAATTTGCGAGACTGAGCACTATCCTCTCGAGTGCCCGAATCCAGTCAGTGTTCCGCTTTAGATGCAGTTCAGACAGAGTAAAGACACTGATGGCTAAGGACCTCAACAGCCTGTAGAGTCTGCTGATTGCAACTGCCTCCTGAGATGTCAATAGCCTATTTTGCTTCAGGTAATCTGGTCGCATCCAGTCCGTCTTCCTTGACTGGTCCTACGCCAGAATACCAGTCGGAAAGTCTCCTCAAAACACCAATAATCTGCTGACGAGGCTGCATGAACAGATGTAATTAAGCTGTAGACTACTCTGGATATCCTATGAAGTTCGCGACCATGATTGCTCACTGAGACCGAAGAGCCTCTTCGAATTTCAATGCCCAACTCACCTATGCGGTTATTCCTGCAGTGCTAAGAGCGCACGCACTAGACTGGATCGCAGAAAAATCTTCTCCACCTAATCGCTAGTCCGACTGTTCTATCCCAATAGGCGTGATGGAAGAGAAGGTAAGTCGCCTGTGCTAACAACCACTTTAGTTATGGCCTCTGAATGCAGCATTCCTTTAACTCATAAGAGGCCGCCTTATTTACTTGGATTCCTGCACGTCCTAGGACATTCGTGCCGCTCGTGGATTGGCCGTTTTTGCATGAGAATCCGTTCGCAGAAACATCTCATAGGTTCTGTAACCGACCTCATTGAATTATGCGTCCAATTTCTTCTCAGATCTATCGATAAATCCCAAATAAGGAAGGGGGACGTCTTCCTAAGTGGATATTGAGGAATATTTATATATGGCGGGATGCTAGGAATTTGGACGACGTTCGGGTGGAAAAAAACGCCGAGTGATCTTATTGGCGGGGACGAGACAGCCTGGGAATAAGTATCGCTCGGTCCGGGAGAGCGCGACGGTGTCCAGGAGGTGTTCCCCGGTCCAAGGTCACCGGACATCAATTGTCCCCTGTTTTTATGGTGTCTCCAGGCGATGCAAGTAGATTTAATGAATAGACCAACCAGGCGCGAGTAGGTATGACGATGAAAGGTGTTATAACGCAGTAGATTAGCCACCAGGGTGAGCGAGGACGCAAACTGCCACAAATGACAGTTGGGAGGTGGCTAGCACGGTGCGTGGTGTCAGTGGGTAACCGACAAAGCGCTTTGAGTCTAGGGTGACAAAGCCGAAATCGGATAAACTGTGGCTACAGCTCTATATTCTGACCGGCCATTGTTTGCGACGCATGGGTCACTAAAGGCTTAACGCCTATCCAACCCAACAGGACGCTCTGATTGGCTACCTGGTTTCCCGCGTGCCTCTGGGGCCCAGCTTGGTCTGTTGCTCCGCACGTTGTCACGTTTTCCTTTCATCCCAGACCATCATTCCACTCCGTCCCCGTTTTGCTTGATACTGACCATGAAACTCGCCACCAAGGGAGATAATAACGGCGGACAGTATTCTTGTGTTTCAACGAATACGGGATTGCAAAATGGTTGTAAAAGAACGTTAGTTACAGAAAGAGTACTGACATCCACCCTTCTGACGCACTCAATAATCCACACGCCTTCTGAGCTGAGTACCATTGAACAACAGTAACAACAACGAATTTCCATAATTATGCTCTATCTTGCGATTTCATACTGAGTGCGAATATTCCAAATCGTTCTATATCTATAGGAGCATCAAGCTCTGCTATTTTCGGCTTAGCTGGCAACACTTCTTGACCCTGGATGCCTTATATGCATCCATGCCCCTCACCTATGAGTGGAATGGTGTCTAAGGAAAGCCGACCTCACTAGTCAGTCTGAAATGTCAAGTAATCAGTTCGCCAAGAGAAGAAACCAACGCCCGGTGTAGCGAATATTGCATCACAGTAAGGCTTGATCCTTCTATTGGTTAGTTGTGGATGCTGCCATGACACGTCAAGGTCAGTTAGATAGCCTAATGCCTGCAAGTAACTCGACAATTCAATCGCGTGTTAAGCACTCCAGCCGGTCCTTCTAACTGGCGCAGACAAGTCCACCCGCAGGGAGGCGATCTACTCAATCGTGGAATTATTGATCTCGTACAGTTAGATTTAGAAAATGAGTGAAAATGTAATATCTGAAGAAGGACTATTATGCGCTGGATGTAAGAGGATGTAAGTGTGTATTTTCAGCTTTCAAAAGTTATCCTACTTTGAATTCTAGTCTCTCGCTTTTTAATTAGCCTGTTAATTCATAAGGAAGTTATGTTCAAAAATCTATACATGGGGACTCTAAATCAGAGTCCAGATGTTAGACCACACTGTCCGTAATTCGTTCTCGGTAAATGTCGCCTCGGCTGTTCTGTCAATGGATATGCTGTTTAAGGACACAAGATAATACGGTCATAACAATTTTAGCCAAATTTTGTTCAAGGTTTCGTAACAATGCTGGTTACTAGTATGTCCTGATAACAAGGAGCTGCGTTTCAACTGACGATCGCATAGCGATTAATTATCAGCAACCTAGAGGCATGGCCAATGAAGTCATAAAAGACGCAAAGGATATGTTCAAGTTACATACCGTACACAGTCATTCACACGGCGGCACGCGAATCTGATGCCCAAGAATCACTGGACAGATGACATGGCTGATTATTTTTGAAATTACCTGTTACTCGTCTTGAGAAAGCGTGCTTTTATCATCTTTCCTTTATCAAGAACACTCATCCGCAGCTGTTTATGATGATAGGTTCGAGTAGGAATCATAAACGTCAGGTCAATAAATATCTTGTTCCAGTGACTGCATCTTTGTCTTCCAAACCCTGGCTGTCTATGTGCCGGGTAACAATTTCCGTGTTATGTCATATCTAGATAATGGCTTGATTTATTCGGCTACTGACAGTTGTCAGTGGAACTCCGATATACCGCAGTATGTACAAAAAACTGGAGGTCGCCAGTTTTGCACATCTATGTATTTAGGTTGATGTCTCCGCTGTATTTACACCTACACTCTGCGCATGTATGTGTCCTTGCTCATCACTTTCCAAGTTGAAATATCCTTAAGGTTTGAAGGTGGAGAATGCCTTAAGACAAATCAAAAACAGGGATATAAATATGAACATAAAAACGTGTCCACTGACCGCCAGGTTCTGACGCATCGTGCATCTGACGCCACACGTGTTAGTCTTGCGCCTTTCAGTGGAGAGGGGGAGTTTATATATGGCTGAACAAGGGCCTGACCGTAGTTTATAACTGTGCTTTAGGACGCCCAGATACCTCAGAAATAGTCACCCTCGAGATGAAATGAACCAGAAGCAGGCTCAGATAGGCGGACACCACGAGTTCACCGGTCTGCCAGCTCTAAAAATACCATAACGGGATAGGATTGATGGATTTGTCCACTGGCAGCTCCTGGGATAGCACGGTCATCTGAATATGGTCTCCATTTTACTCCCTGTTAGATAGGATCCCAGTCGTCCCCTTGTTTTCCTGGAAACCTAGACAGTTTTGCAGGAATCGAGTGGTGTATGGCAAGTGTAAACGGACCGCTGGACCCCTTCAGTCACTGTGCCCAAGGCAACTCCGGCCAGCCTGTCTTGTTACCAGCCTCGGGGGAGAAGGGGGAAATCCCGCACAAGTCTGCTATTATTATATGAGATGTCACACACGAGTCACTGTTTGGCGTCTACCAAGCTATGCGGCACATCGTGGGCATCGTTGTACGCCACGGGAAAACTGTCAGGACCCCTATAACGAATCTCGCTATATGTGCGCTGGCCAACAACGAGGGTCCAATCAATTCACGGCAAGCCTTTACTTGACTGTGAAGATTTCGTGCCAGTCCGTACTTACTTCCGCACATTAAGTCTGCGTGTGACACGCCTCAACGCAGGTCTTAAGGTTGAAGCGGCAATGAGTAGGTTGTCTGTACGCTACCGTCAGCAATTTGTTGTGACCTAGCGGCGAGAGTAAGTGTTCTGAGCACCACAATAATCAGGACAAATCCCAGTATTGTAGGGGAAAGAGGAAGGCACCAGAATGAGGGGGTTATTGTGCACAGAACCCGGAGTTGTCCTCTCAGGCGGCAGGGGTCACTGGCGAAGCCACTGGGCTGGTGTTGAATGCGTCCAGTCATGCCTGAGAGTCCCTTAGATAGTGGTGGCAGCCGCTTTTGTAGACTCGTGGGCCAAGCTCAAGTGGTCTCCAATCGGTGTGTGTGTTGCATTTGCCGAGGGGTGGTGTCCCAGGGCTAGTTTTGTTGGTTGCAGGAGGTGGCACGTTCAAGTGGCGCATTGGTGGCCACGAAATTATGCGGACGCAATTGTGTTCGAGCTGAAGTCGGTCGAGCGGCTTCAGGTAAGCGAGTCTGGAACGACTCGCTGCATGGGGTGAATGATCTTGAGGCAGCGAGGTCTTGAACAAGGACGTCAGACCGGTTACGATGGCTGCCCGCTAAAGCGTCACGTCGGCAATCGCACTCAGTCAAATCATCAGAAGGTTGACATGCTTGGACAGATACGTTGGAGAGGGATTTTGGGGTGAGATCAGCACTGGGGACTCCAGCATATTCCTCATCTTAATAAATGTGGCCCGTCCGAATTTATTACGACGTACTAAAAGTCGTGGTTTGGAAGACTGTGGGGTAACTTGGTTTCCATTGTCAATACTTCGTGTGTAGTGACTGACTGGTTAACTAAGAGTCCGTCGCACTCACGCGAGATCCGAGTCGCCCTCATGGCACAGGAACCGAATACCAGGTCGTGTGTGGCACGCGTAGAATAGCTGCTTAGCCACTGCGCCCATACCTCCATCCGGCAATCAAAACATCTTTTTGTCGTCAATGGAGACTGGTGAGGAAGGAGAGAGTATGGCAGGCGCTGTGCAAGTTTGCCTCAGTATAGGCGCAATTAACTGGAACTGCGTTTATTTCATGTTTCCATCGACATCCTGTTTCCCTGGCTCTAGTTTGATGAAGAAATAGTAGACGCAGACAAGTCAGTGTGCCGGATATTGTTTCTTTTCAAAAGGAACCATAATGACCACTTTCCTTCGTCGAGACAAGCACCGTAGAAAACCATAATCTGCGTATTTCTGTGCAGAATCCCCTTTTTACCAGATGCGCCGCCACTGTTTTACAGTAGATGTGCTAACTCATGAAATTTGAACCAAAATTCTGAAATTCGTTATCGACTTTAAAAGATTACCTAAGTGGGGTTGTAATATTAATCACCAAATAACATAATCCCAAGATATTTCAGTTACTTCGGGATGCTGGGCTTTATACAAGCTTTTTTCTGACCGCCTGCAAAACCCTTACTCTGTAAAAATGACGTCCTAAGTAGCACGAATTTTTCTCGTTTGATTTCAATGCCATTATAACTTCAAATATATTTTGTAGAAAACATACATGGAAATATTCTTTATTTACTCATTTGGAGGAAAATTACTTCTTTTTCGGATATTATACTGGAAGAAAGAGTGTATTTCAGTTTTAAAAAGTTTCTAATTATGAGATTTTGAAGACTTGAAATGCCCGCGCATAAGGCATCGTGTCTCTGAATTTACTAGTGTTGCCTGTGAAGTTTACAATAGGGCTCAAATTCACTGCTAAATCCTATGAACCCCATATGTTCTCCTGTTAATAGCGTTTAAAAATGTATAATTTTCCGTACACGAAAATTATTAAACTTGTTGTTCGGAAACTCCGAATACAGGTGTAACGGCGGGTCGGGTTCAAAATTATTTAGGAACTAAAAGCATTTTTAAAACTGAATTATACCTTTCCACCGAGTGCAAAATTTGAAGAAGACATAACTTTCTACCAAATGTGTAAACGAATGAATATTTCCATGTATACTTTCTATGAAATATATTTGAAGTTAAAGTGACATTGAAAGAAACGAGAAAAAATTCGTGCCACTTAGGTAGTCATTTTAACTGCTCAAAGGTTTTGCAGGCGGTCAGACAAAAACGTTTGTTTAAAAGCCGGCATCTCGATGTAACTGAGATATCTTATGATAGTGTTGCACGGTGGTTAATATAACAACTCCACTAAGGTGACCTTTTTGAGTCGAAAACGCATTTCAGAATTTCGGTTACTATGAACCCTTATAGCAACAGGAGTACGATGAGTTCTTGTGAGGCGCATATACTGGACACGCGATAAAAAGGGGCTTCCTGTCACGTAAGCCTCCGCACCCTGTCTCGCCACCAACTGATTGACAGAATCAGACAGGTCACTGATGCGCGGACGAGGCAGAATTGCGTGAAGCCGACACTGAGGAGGAACCCATCGTCATGGTATCTCCGCGCATTCCTCACTAGTGACTGAGACCCAATACGAGTGAAGTGAGGTTTTGTTCAATAACAGCATGAAAATGTTTTGCTGTCTAAGATGTTGCACTCACTTGCTATATATTCCCTTTCTCACAGCCTTAATAATCCTCAAACCCTGATCTGCGGCCACACCTTTTGTAAGGAGCCCTGCCTTGGAAAATTGACTGTGGGCCATGGATTTGTGGAGTGTCCCTTCTGTTTTGTTGAAATGGCTGCCTCCTCTGTAGTTGCGGATTCTGTCCTCGCAGGCCGGTTGCGCCAATATCTCATTCAGAAGTGCAAGGCCATTTTGGGTAAAGAGGTCTGTGCCTGAATTTTAACGTCTCTTGCAACACCCTTATTCGTCTTCTTCCCTCCCTTTCACAGTGCTCATCTTCTTTGCAGCATTTTTGCATTCCAAATAGAAACCGTTTTATAACCATCTGCACAGCTATGATAGTTAAGAGTTTCAAACATAGAATGATCTTACATACGACAGTTCGACCGTCGTTTCTGGCGATGTCCACCATGTGCTACAGAGCAAGGTGCAGCAGGGACGCTGACTTGTGCGTGATAGTAGACTTGCACCGCATATACCGCACTCTCTCCTTCCCTACCTGGGCCCGGTGTCAAGACATAGTCAAAATGACAGGAGGCGGGCAGGGCGCAGGTGGATGGCGCGGTCGAGTCTGCTCCTTGGCGCTCCAGTCCACGGCTCCTGCTCTTCACAATAAATGACCAGGTTTTTGAACAACAGTAGCAATAACCCTCTTAACAGGAGTCACAATGACGAGGTGGATGACTGTGCAGGCATGCTCATTATCTGTATATCCAGCGGGAGCGAAGGCACATCTATTGGCAGGGAACTGCCAGAGTATGCCAGACTGCGATGGCCGTGATTTGTTGAGATTGGCATAGTACACGTTTTCAGACCTTTTGACCGACCTTACATACAATAACTGTACAGCTGTCCTTTTTGCCCTAGTAGTTTGGGAGGAGATATTTTTGGCTCATTGTTGGTAGTAGACATCTCCAGACTTCGCCCGATGCCTGTAACAACATCGGTCCGCGACCGACCAAAAGTCCGCATGCTACAATGAATGAATCAGAGTCCGGTTACGCTGCCTGCCATTAGCGACCGTACCACGTAGAAAGCTTTAGTTCTTATCCTATCATCGACGTTACGACAGGCCCAGTTAACATTTACTGACTGGAAATATCAGATGTTCCCGACATCTCTCTTGTGCTCCTACAACTGGCCACATGGCGAATTCGCTTAACCAACACGTGGACTAGCTCGGGCTTCGGCAGGCGTTTTTGGAAATCCGCACCCGCGACCGGATTTCATGACTGTCTCGACACTAAGTCCAGTATGAGTAGGAGGAGTTAGTGCGTTAGCTACGCAAGTTTGCTATCATTACAAACTAACTCATTTGCAAGTTACCGTCCTTGCCTTTTCCCTCCTGTCTGCTGTAGAGCTCAGGCTAGACATTGTTGGAAACAAAGTTTGATAGTCATGCTTCTCTGCCAGTCATATGGGACCGCCAAACACCTGTTCGTGTGCTACGAGTAGAAATCTCTTACACTCTAACAACTGGCTCTTTTTCCAACCGACATCCTTGTCAATAAAAGTGCATACGTATCTGTATTAGCCCTACTTTAAAGGGACAAATTCTTGATACTCCAATTTGAACCGTTTGGGCAATACTAGGGAGAAGCATGCGCCTCAGAATTACAAGTTGGATTGATGTTGAGTTGTCTTCTCTGCACGGGATTCAAGGGTTCTGGTGAAAATCGAGTTTTTCAAGAGTTATAATCAATATTTTTCACTGGTTGGGCAACTTCTTTTTCTGAATTAGTGGGGGAACACGACGAGGTTTCGTCCTGCAGCCCCATTTGAGTGATGCCATACGGTTAGCTTAAAAAAATTAATTTTATTAGTTGCGATTGCGCTAGCTTTACATATGTGCATCACGTGTTTAAGCCTTTCTTACTATTTAATTCCAACCATTGACTGTGCCTCTGGAGTGTGTGCTTATATGCCACTCTCGGCTACAGAAGGTATCAGTTCACACGCGCTTTCTTGTGAGCGCTTCGAGCCCTCCTTGCGCCCTCTTCATTATCTTAATCCTGCGAGTCGCTAAGAAGGCTTGCTAATGTCATTGTTCTGATAGTAATAGGAACTCCGTCGGTTCCACTATGGTGGCCATGCGCTGCAAATTAACTCGCGGTTTCCTCTGTGGCCTTCCAGTTGTGATTGCGACCTCCTTATCCTCTTTATCCAGCGAGTGGTTGTGTCGCGGGGGGCATGTGCACATGGCACCATCGATTCACACGCGCTTCCGTGCGCTTGTTTCGAGCTCTGCTTGCGCCCTCTTAACCTTCCCAATTGAGCGAGTGGATAGGTGAGGTACAGTAGGTGGGCTAACTCATGAAATGTCAACCGAAATTCCGAAATGCGTTTTCGCTTCGAAAAGATTAATTAGTTAGGGTTGTAAAACTAGTCAGCTTGCAGCATAATTCTATAATATTTCAGTTGCCTCAGGATGCCGGCTTTCGAATGAACTTCCTTTCGGCTGCATGCGAGAACTACTCTCTGTAAAAAAATGACTACTTAATCAGCATGCACTTTTCTAATTGATTTTCGATGCTCCAAAAAGTCCAATTATCTTTCATGGAAAACATGCATAAAAATATTGATCCATTTATTCATTCGATAGGAAATTACATCTTCTTCCAAGTTTGCACTTGAAGAAAGAGTAAAAATCGGTTTTCAAAAGTTTCTCATTGGTGGACTTTTAAATACCGTGAAATGGCCGTTCCTAGATCGTTACGTCTCTGCATTTACCAATTTGGCTTGTAAAGTTAACAATATGTATCAAATCCACTGCTACATTTTATGAACCTTATATAATCCCCCCTTAGTACCGCAGAGAAATGTGTGGTTTTCCGTATGCGAAATATCAAGGGCTTGTAGATTCGAAATCCTGAATCCAAGAGTATCGGTAGAGCGGATTGAAAATTACTCAGGAATTGGGAAAGTCTTTAAAAACTGAATTATGTCCCTCCTTCTAGAATAAAATTAGAAGGACACGTAATTATCTTCCGAATGAGCAAAAGAATGAATATTTTATGTATGTTTCCCATGAAATATAATTGGACTTTTAGGGACACCAAAAAAATAAATGAGAAAAATATTAGTCATTTTTATACAGAGAGTAGTTCTTGCCTGCAGCCGAAAGGAAGTTCATTCGAAAGCTGGCATCCTGAGTTAATTGAAATATTATGGAAATATGTTGCAAGCTGACGTAAACGCATTTCGGAATTTCGGTTTAAATTTCATGAGTTAGCTCACCTACTGTATGTTAACTAAAATTATTTTAGTTTGCTAACCACATTGTATCAGTCGTGTGGAGCTACATGATTAAACCTCGCCGTTATTACTTCCATGAAACCTTTTGCGACGGGGCCTCATCCCGACTCGATCATTATTATACACAGGGATTGCAGAAGGAAGGTACCGTCGACAACATTTCTGGTTTATCAACTATTGGCAGCCACACGCAAGCCCAGGTTTGAACGTTCTGAGGTCCGAACTAGCTTTTTTTCGGTCCAAATTTCTATCATTCAGTGATTTTTTTGTAAAATATAACGGGTCTTTGAGTACTCGGTGAGTATAGTCATACGGCCGCTCAATACAAAAGTCATCTCCTAAGCGAACTCAAAACCGCAATGTCTTGTTTATTGAGCTTCAAGTGGATCTGTAAAAAAATTACCTAGTTCAGAAATGGTCTTACTGGGCGGAAGTACTTGAGGTGAAATGCGTCCAACTACTAGTGCTTCAATCCACCAGGTGTTTTGCAAACAGGAATACTCTTACCGTTCGGGTGCCAGCACCCCTCCAGCACTTGCTCCTGGTAACTTAGTCATGTGCAATGAAACCGGCATAACAGCTTTAAATAGATCACACTTTGTCCTGCATCGAGAAGACGTTAAGGTATCTCCTTCTCCTGACGCCTGCGAGTTTTAGAGCACACCAGCAGAAATATGCCCCACCCCAAGAAAGTCAGATCGATTTCATCACACCCACGTTCTCGCCTTCTAAGCCTCTATGCTGCAGTTAACGGTTTTCGGATCGTAATAATTAAGTGGGCTTCAACCACGAACTAAAAAATGAGTCATTAGCATACGTAGACGAGCTGTAGTAGGCGAACAATGGAAGGCTTCTACATGGAGCACATTTGGCGGGTTGTCTGCGTGTGAAAGGCTGCATCATTCATGCAGGCAATTACCCATTATCCAAGGGCTGATTGTAGGACTCTTTGAAGAAGAAGAATTAGTATTGATGAAAGAACTGAATTCCTAGAAGCTGTGAGGACAGGATTCCAACGGTCGTATTAGTACTCACCCTGTACTAGCTGCCAGCGTTCAGAGAAGCACAAACGTGAAGTTATTTGAGAGGGTGCATTTTTTGTTCATCACGTATAGGTACCCAGCTCGGCAAAGCAAGTTAACAACCAGAAAAGCTACTGCAGAGATCGAATTTGCCGCGGAGAGCTATTAAACACTTCGAGATGTGTCTGTTTTCATTCATGTGAGAGAGTTCGTACACACTTATTTTATCGGCTAGCGCGTGTTCCAGGGAGAACCTGTGGCAAACTCGTCGTCCGAAATGGACAGGTGCAACAGCCAATCACAAGCCGGCCGCCATTCGCACTAACCTAGGCGTCTATAGCGTACGTATAAGGCTCACTAAAACTAACAATGAATATGAGGCGTGTTGCATACTTGGCAAGCAGCCTTTATGAATGGACTGTTGAGAGGCCTTATGAATGGGTATTTCACAGTCCTAGAAAGTCCCACAATGGGCAACTCTTTAATGTTCGAAAATATATTTTGTGCGAAGGACGTTATCTGTCACCAAATCCGTATGAGAAAGAATATTTTTTGCAAATGTCTATAGGATATAATCTAGTATATAAGGACACGAAAAACCAATTAAGAACATGCAGGTAACTTGAGCAATCATTTTTTACAAAGTGTCGTTTGTGCAGGCGACGGATAAAAGCTCGTTCAAAAGCTGACCCTTTGTCGTGGCTGAAATATCTTGCGATTATGCTGCATGAAAATTATGATGCAACCCTATTTAAGTAATTATTTTTTTTGAATTTCAGACATAATTCAGAATTTCGGTTAACATTTATGAGAAAAGGGGTCGGAAGAGACTTGAAATCAGGCCACATGCGCCCACCATTTTTATGAACGTTTCTGCAAAAGGAATCTTTAAATTATCCCTTGCTTCTAGGCCAGAGCTCCCTTGTCTGTGTGCTTATT